CTGACGTTTCGGTCTGAAGAAGGGTCTAGGCCCGAAACGTCAGCCTTCCTGCTCCTCTGATGCTGCTTGGCCTGCTGTGTTCATCCAGCTCTACACCTTGTTATCTTTGAATTATTGACTTATTTTAAAAAATTCTTATACTGCAGAGGTAGTTTTTAACGGTGTGTTTGGACAAATGCGCAGAGCTACAGGGAGAGTGACACGAGGTGAATTGCACCTTGAGAGACCAGCACAGACATGGCAAAATGAATTGCCTTCCTGTACTATAACCGTTCTAGGATTCTATGTAACCATTACTGCAATTGCTCAATTATTTTACTGTAGGGAATGGATCGAAGTGGCGTTCGGATGTCTTCCTACGTCGAAGTCAGCAGCTACTTCCACAACGCTAGCTCAGTTGGACGATCTTCAACCCGAAAGGTAGACTGCCACAAAGCACCAGGAGATGTTTGTTGCACCTGCCAGCACAGCACTTTAAAACCAAATGCAAACTATTGTTCCATTTATATCAGGTTGAGCTTTAGCTACTGAACAATCAATGTAAAATGTCAACTCATTTTATGCTTTGAGTCTTCAATGAACATTGCACCTTTTTTGATGAGACCTTTCATAGTCTTTTGTGTTAAGATTCTTGACACAAAATGTATGTCAGCAAAGGTTAGTGACGCACAGGTAGGTTACATTTTACACCAAAATGACACAACTCATTTTTATTTATAAATCATGCAGATTTAAACAAGATCAGTTTCAGTCCCTAAAAAAAATAAGCAGGAGGAATGTTTACAGGAATCGTCGTGACAGTTCCAAATAACAAAACGCGTAACACACACATACATACATACATGTTGCAGTTACATTTATTACTCCCCCAATTAATAGCTAAAGTACTTTTAAACACAACTTTCACTTGAGAATTTGATTTCTACCAAATAACCCATTTCAATTATTGGACAAGACTGACCATGTTTTGATTAGTAATCATTGTAATTTAAGTATATGTGAGCATACAAATTTTATTGACTGTCCTTATTTCATCTCAGAACCATGCTCCATCTACTAAAATAATGAGGACGCTAATGTGAGGCAGCCACTTGAACTGGAAAAGCAACCAGGTGACAGCTTATCTGCTGGGCCTTGCTTCCCCTTCATGTGGAAGTGCCTGGCTTCAGCCTGAATATTCCACATAGTCAAGTGGCTGAGATTGATAATGGAGCCATAGGGGTAACAATGGCATTACCTCAAGTGCCACTGCATATACCATTCAACATGCAGAGCCAACATGTTGTCCTTCTGAAACACTTAGTGCAGCAGATTCTTTCCGTCTTAATAAAGTTTCAGGAAATGTACATTTCAGTTGGTTCTTATTATAGAATCATACAGTACGGAAACAGACCCTTTGGTCCAACTCATTCATGTTGATCAAGTTTCCCAAACTAAACTATTCACATTTGCCTGCATTTGGCCCATATCCGTCTAAACCTTTTCAATTCATGTACTTGTCCAATATCTCTTAAATGTTGTAATTGTACCTCTATCTACCACTTCCTCTGGCATTTGATTCCACGCACGAACCACCCTCTGGATCAAAAAGTGCCACTCGGGTCCCTTTTAAATACTCCTCCTCTCACCTTTAAATTATGCCATCTAGTTTTGAACTCTGCCACGCTAGAGAAAAGACCTTTGCTATTTACTTATCTATGCCCCTATTGATTTTATAAAACTCTATAAGGTCACCCCTGAACCTCACCTTTCATCTCCAACGTGAATTGAACAATCTCTCACAAAATAGTCCATGTGTAAGAGATCTCAAATTAATTTGCTTTTTTTGATTTATTTATGTTTAACAAGACTCTTCTCTGTTGTATTACATTGTTTCTTTTTTATCTAAAGTGAATTTTGTCTGCACTAATTAAATATTCTTTGCTATTGGGTGCAATTCTGTTCCTCTTACTTCAGGAGGGATGTAGTTGCATTTTAAGGCACTCCAGAGGAGGTTCACTGGATTGGTTCCAGAGATGAGGGCGTGTCTTATGAAGAGAGATTGAGCAGTTTAGAAGAATGAGAGCAGATCCAGTTGAGGTATATGAGATGCTAAGGGAGACTGACATTGTAAATATAGAAAAGATGTTTCCTCATGTGGGGCAATCTAGAACAAGTTTTAGGATAAGGGGTAACAAATTTAAAATAGAGATGAGGATAAATTAAGTCTCTCAAAGGCTTGTGAATCTGCGGAATTCACTATCCCAGAGTGTGGATGCTGGGACATTGAGTAAATTTAAGGAGTGGAGAGAGAGATTTTTAATTCGTAAAGGCCTGAAGGATTATGAAAAGTGGGCAAGAAAGTGGAGTTGAGAGCGAGATGAGATCAGCCATGATCATATTGAATGGCGGAGCAGACTTGAGGGCCTGAATGGCCTACTTCTAGTTCTGATGTTCTTTTGAGTTTGTTCCATTATATGGCAAATACTGTCCCCTAATCATCTATAACCTAATGTCAAATTATAATAACCAAGTTTTCTGTAGATTTGTCACTCTTTCTCATCTTGATTGACACCTTTCAATGCTTTCTGTTCCAAACTCAACTGACAGCATGTCCAGCAAACTTTATGAGATAGAGACAAATATAAAAGATGGTTGTATGAAAATAAAAATGCTGGAATAGTCAGCAAGTCAGACAGTTCCCGTGGAGAGTGTAACAGAATTGACATTTCAGATTGATAAACATTCGTCAGAACCAGAAGTAGTTAAAGATGTAACTGATTCTAACCCAAGTGCAAAGGCAAGGAAGTTGGAAGAGAGAAAAAAGGTCAGTAGCAATGTAAGAGAGTGGGAGGCATTGAATGAAGGAAGAGATAAATGGGGAAAAGCAAACGTGGAAAGTGGTAGATAGATGTTTGATGAAAGTATCAAAGGTCTGGGATGAATGTCAAATATTTCCCCTTTGTATTAGGGTTGTTTGACATGTGAGCATGTTCTATTCTGAGAAACAGTTCAAGAAAATTTCTGTGATACAGTCCCAGTCAATACCTTCACTAATCTGGTGATACTTTATTAATTCACCTTTACGCTCCTCTCTCAGTTCTCAAACTGCTACAGGCATTGATGGCTCCTTATACTCACAGTATAACAGGAAAACAGAATGCGTTTTAATAATATTCACTAAGAGCATCTTGATATCCTATTGAGAGAATGAGCTGGTATGCTGCAGTGCTGTCTGTGTACATGTACTAAAATCACTAATTCAGAATTGGGCAGTGCTTATCCTCCTTTGTTGTTTGTGTGGCAGTCTTCCTTTCAAATATACTCCAAATATTTTTAGTTTGCTTTAATCTTGTTCTCTTTTCCCACAGATTAACGTTCGTCCCTTCCCTTTCTTTATGTGCACCCCTTGTTGAAGTCTCATGTTGAAATTTAATAGCTGGTGAATGTTACTTCAGGACAGGATTTATAGTTCTAACCATGCTGCTGAGCTCATTTTCTTTTGTTTATACTTTAGGAAAGGGCTAGTTGTTCGACATACTGCATTTATTGTCATGCTATGTCTTTGTCATCACAACAACAGTCAAACCAAATAACCTGAGCATTTCAGTTTGAACATTTTCGCTCGTACCTTGTATAGAAGGCTAATGCCACTTTGTTTTGGTAGCTAATCAAAAGTCTAATTAATGCATTGCTCCTGTTCAAAGCTGGGCTTATGCATGATTATTGTAATAGTAACAGATGTGGCTGTGTGGTACTCAAATGGGATGAGCAAACCTCAGAGTTATTACAAGTGTTCTTCAAGAAGCATTGGAATCAGAACTTGGGGACAATATTGATTATTGGATGAGCCTTTACTGAGTTCAAGGTCATCTTTCTAGCCAGTCCATCAAACTAAAATATTGGATTTTTTCTGAATTTATCCATTGGTATAACGTTGATAAGGTTTGATTATATTTTTTTGTAAAATACAATGTCTGAAGTAAACTGATAGACAAGATTTCACATTTTGAGATTTTTCCTGTAATAAATAAACTAAAATTAACATAGTTGGAACAGTGATTAACAGGTAACTGATGCAACCAAAAAGGAAAAAAAAAGTTTAGCATTGAGTCATGCAACCAAAATATATCTTATGTAATGATTTTACTTTACACCATGGTTCTAAAAAATATGAAGCATTAAAGGAACAGTTACTCCCAGCTGTCCAACAGATGTTCACTTGTCCGTTCACAGCAGGTCATAACTTCCACTGTCATTTGATGTTCATTTCCCTCAAAGACTGCCCACTACTTAAATACTGAAGAATCCCAAATATTCTGTCCCATTCCTTTTGAACAGAAGCTAAACCCTTAAAAACAGCTATCATTCACCCTGCCCCTGCCAGTGGGTTTCTATTTGAGTTTGTCTTGCATGGCAATGTGAAGCCACTGAGCTCTCCTCAAACTGAGGTGTTCATCAGGAATTCTAATTGTACCTGCTTTTCCAGAATTTTGAGGGTTTTTTTAATGTTAAAGGTATATTTTGAAACTTAATTGTCTTGTAAAGTTCAGCATTCATAACACTGCTGTGGAAACCTGACCCCTCACCCCTGTTACAGCTGCTCACTAGAACAGCCTGGCAACAGTTATGCCAGTTCTGAGGAAGGGTCGTCGGACCAGAAACATTAACTCTGATTTTTTCTTCACAGATGCTGCCAGATCTGCTGAGCTTTTCCAGCAACTTCTGTTTTTGTTCCTGATTTACAACATCTGTAGTTCTTTCGGTTTTTAACAGTACGCCTGAGATGTACAAATGGAGGGAGAAACGTAGGCCCAGAAACAATTTCCCTTTTCTCTCCTTGTGGTTATTTAACCCTTTTTTTAAATCAACCTTTGCCTCATCAGATGACGCAGCAGCAGTTCCCAGCAAGTCCATCAGAATTTCTTGGCTTTGCCATGGAGGGCTGTCACTAACTGTTGGGAAATATGCTTTGCATTCATATTGCTGTACCAGCCAGATACCCAGGCTGGGGTTTACAGAAAGGTTGAAGGGATGATGAAGCCTTGCAAATAAGTCTCAATATTGCTGTAGATCTACATATTATTCACATATAAACAAAGGCTGATTTGTGGGAATAACACGGATATCCTTCACTGTGAGCCTGAAGGAAAATAATATGAACAATGTTTTAGGCCTGTACAAAACAGTTTGTAAATTACTGTTTTACATAATTAAAAATATAGGGGAATGACTGGTGGAAATTTTTTTTATGGAAATCTTTCTGAACATATTTTATGATGTCTGATGTAATTGTTGTAGTATTTCATAAGGAAAAAGAGAAATCCTACACTGATGTAACAAAAATTCAAGAATGTTCTGTGTCAGTGTGTCAAGGAGTGGGAAACAACAAATCTAAAAAAAAACACTTCTAAGAGCAGACCAACTTCCCTGGTGCCTTTTTGTAAAATCTTGCTTTCAATTATTATCCAGCAATTTCATGAAGAGCTGGCACTGCAGATGGTTGTCAGTACAGGAATGGTGAGAGAAAACGTCTTCAAGTACGCCTGGTTCTTCTTTGAGCTTCTGGTAGGTCCGCTGACAGTCACTGTGAACTATTTCACACTGATGTAGTTTGACAAAACTATGTCATTTAGCTGCTCTTTTTGTTTCTTCTCTCAGATACTCAGTCATTCTGGTTCCCTGTCTCTTTAATCATTTCTTTATTCTTTCTATTTTGTCAGTTTCTAATTCCCGAATACTAATACTATTTACGTCCATCCCCATACTTTATGTGGTGTAAACCCAGTCTGGCCAACCCTTTCTTATGGGACAGCCAAATATCGATCTAGTAAACCTCCTCTGAACCATCTGAGAAATCTTCTGTGTTCTCCAAAAGCTGTTTACTGGCCTGATGTGCTGATGTGTAAACGATTGCAATTAAAAATTGATTTTGATTTCAGAAATGTTCCAATAATGATTCTGAAAAAATGTTTTTGTTATGAAAATAGGTTAAAAGCATGGCTCAGTACTTTTGTATGATGGAGAAACAGGAATCTTCCCGAAAACTACGTTTTTCCGATCGCTTCAAAGATGACATTACCACAATTGTCAATGTGGTTACAGCAGAGATTGGCACAATTCTTGTGAAACAACAAAAGGTAGGTTTTTGTTTTGAAACGAAAATTATAGAAATGTTTAAAGAAGTATCATCACTGAAATAAAATGTCTCTCAATTCTATCTACTAAAGCCCCAGTTTTCCCCAGTTCTTGAATATATTTTCTTACACCTGGCTTCCGATAAGGACTCCATTCCATTGTCCCAGTTTCTTGTCTCCACCTTATCTGTTCCAATGATACCACTTTCGACGGGGACGCATCTAACATGTCCTCCTATTTTCCTCAATCAAGAACTCCAACTGTCCCCACACTGTGGTTGGACAGGGCCATTAGCCGTGCCTGACCCATTCACCACACTTCAGCCCTAATGCTTTCCCCTTCCACCCAGAACAATGTTTAAGTTTCCCCTTGTCCTCACTTTCCACCCACCAATCTCCACATTCAACAGGTGATCCTGCTCCTCCAGTTACCTCCTGCTACCACCACTGAACACATTGTCTCCTCCACTCCCTTGTCAATATTTCATCAGAACCATACCTTGTGTGATAATCTGGTTCATTTCTCCATTACTGCTAATACTTACTCATTCAACTCATTGCCCCATGCAATCGCAGAAAACTTAAAACTTGCCTTTTTACCTCTCAAACTCATCCTCCAGGCGAAGCAGTGGTTTACTTGTATTACTTTCAACCTAGTCCAGTATATTCACTGCTCACAATGTGGCTTCCTCTAGATTGGTGACATCAGGCTTGGACTTGCTTTGTGGGACACCTCTGCTCTGTCTGTAAGAATGACCCTGACCTTCCAATTATTTGACATTTCAAAAAGCCACTTTGCTTTTGGCTAATGTTTCCATCCTAGGCCTGTTAAAGTGTTCCACTGAAGCCCAACAAAAGCTGAAGAGTAGCACCTCATTTTCTGCCTTGGCACTTTGCAGCCTTCAACATTGAGTTCAACAGCTTCAAAGCATGAACACTAGCTTCCATTTGATAGTACATTGTGTCTTGTTTGCATGGATTTGCTCTTCGCAAAGTTGACCTAATTTTTATTGCACACACCTACTATTAACACCTACTCTGCATCTATAACCCTCCTTTACTACCGCTAGCACTCTACTGCTAGCTGGGGGGCAGCATGGTGGCTCAGTGGTTAGCACTGCTACTTCACATCACCAGGGGCCCAGGTTCAATTCCACCCTTGGGCAACTGTCTGTGTGGAGTTTGCACATTCTCCCTGTGTCTGCCTGGGTTTCCTCCAGGTGCTCCAGTTTCCTCCCACAGTCCAAAGATGTGCAGGCTAAATGGATTGGCCATGTTAAATTACCCTGTAGTGTATAGGAGGGTGGGTCCGGGTGGGATGCTCTGAGGGTCAGTGTGGACATGTTGGGCCAAAGGGCCTGTTTGCACACTGTAGGGATTCTATGGTTATGATTCACTCTGGTTTGCTCTGGGCACCCACCCCATCTGTTCCATTGGCTACTTCTCACTTTTTGTCGACTGTACAAAAACATAACTTCCCAACTGCCTTCAGTTCTGAAGACATGTCATTAATGAGGAACATTAACTCTATTTCTCTCCCCACACACACAGCCAGACCTGCTGAGATTCTTCAGGAATTTCTTTTTTTCGTATTTCAGATCTCCAGTATTTTTCTTTTTTAATGCTTATTTCTTCACCTGCTGATGTGTTCCCCCTCACCCTCCCCATTTCTTCCAGCATAGTGAGATGTCAGCATTTTGTCGGGTAATGAAATATTGACTTTAATTTTCTCGATCATAGGAAACAGAGCAAGCTGAAAAAATCAACGTAAGCTTGGCATTTTTCCTGTTTGACCTTCTATCCCTCATGGACCGTGGCTTTGTGTTTAATCTCATTAGAAATTATTGCTGCCAGGTAAGAAAATTAAATTCTTTTGCTGCATTTCTAATGTACAACTCTGAGACCACAAGGAATACAAATATGTCGTTCACTTAGCAACAGCTTTGCAATAACTCAGGCTCTGCGTTACATTCTGTACAATATATATTTAGAAATGTTCACTATTGAAAATGATCAAACGTCTAAATCATGGGTATTCATGAAATGACACTAAGGAGTAACAAATGCCTAATAGATTGATCTGAAATTACTCTCTGCTGTTTTCCTGGTGGCAATGGCAAGTTATTTGGATGATTCTGTTGAAAGAATAGAGAGTGGAATTCAGGTGATCATTACAGTCTCGTGGTGAAGTTTCAGAATCTGACCATTCCTACTTTGACTTTTTGCCTTTATTGTGTCATATTTTCACAACATTATTCAATTTTCCTTTTTTTTTTCCAAGTTCTGTTTCCATTTAGATTTTAACTAGGACAACTACTCCAGACCAAGGAATATTTAGATAACCTACTCCCATTGCCCCTGTCAGAAACATGTTCTGCATTTGACTTCTGGCGCAGAGACACGAGGATAGCATGATTTCTCTCAATTCCTACACAGACTCTTCCTTTGACATGGAGAAGATTGAAAGCTTAGTTATTTACAGATTACGATTATGTCGCCACATCCCATTACTTTACGATATAGTTACAATCTGGCTGTATTCCATTTGAAGAAAGAACGCAAGGTCACAATCACTGCTTTTTAAAACTCAAAATAAACACTTTCTTGTACATCATGAAGATTTTCCATCAGGGGAAGAGCAGCCCAGAAAACCTGCTCACTGCATTTCCCTCAGTATAATCTTGCAGATTTGGGGCTCATTAAGCAGGTAGGGTGGAAACTTGGTGGGAGTTTGCTGCTGGTGTCTGGGAAAATGAGGCAGCACGGCAGTTGGAAAACAATGCGTTTCCAGGCTATACCTTCCACTCATTCCGTACATCTGTGACAGATGATCATTAGGTGGGCGGGTAACTTGTGTGCTGAAACTGGGGTGTGTGTATTCCCTTCCAGTCTTCCAAACCACAATCCGTCTCCCAACCCTATTTCTCTTCATTTTCTGCAGTTGTGCTGCACAGTTTTGGGTGGAAAGATTGAGAAGAATTCATCCATTAACCGTTGGTTCTTTACCATAAGGACCAGGTGGCTGCCTAGCTTCAATTCGAATCACCATTGAGCTAGTGAATCTCTGTGCAGTAATTAGCTGCATTATCCTTGGAAAAGAGAGACAAACAATCATCCAGGATACCAGCTCTTGTTCACTGTCCAATAGTCCGTAATGTTTGTGTCATGACTGTGATCCACAATTGTCGAATAACATGACAATGTAACTGTCTAGTTTCACGTTGAATGCTCACTTAAGTGAAGTACTGAACAGCCACTATAGGAAGGAAAGCAGACAAAATTTAAAAAAAGGAAACAAATCAACCATCTAGATTGTAGAATAAGTTGGTTCCATTAACATTCTTTTGAATCTGCTCCATTGTAGCTTTCTGTCAAACTGCAATCAATGCCCACCCTCATTTCTATGCGACTGGAGTTCCTGAGGATCCTCTGCAGCCATGAACACTATCTCAGCCTCAACCTTTTCTTCATCACTAATCTATCTGCACCAGCTTCTCCATGCCTCTCAATATCATCACAGGTAAAGACAACCATGCTTCATGTTCAGGTGACTTTGCTTTGTGAACCTCATTGTGAATTTGCTTTGATGACGTAAGTGAACAGTATGTGTCTCGTGCACTTCTTGATAACATGCTTCCATTTATACAGATAAACAAACTCTTGTCTCATGCATTTACTCATTAACCGCGACTTGAGACGGAAAGCTAAATATTGTATTCTCTCATTGAAACCCAAAGTGTGGTTTTGGTGAATGGCCAATATTAAAGGTGTATTTTGCTGCAGGTTTTCTTCTGCCAGTCCAAGGCAAGCACTGATCATCATGCTCATTTACAATTCTCGAGAAGCTAAATAGCTTCTTGATGAAGGAACAAATAATGTTTCATCAGCAAGACCAGTGCTGGCGGTGGGGTTTATGATGAAGTGTGTTTCCTTGTGTCCAAATTGTACTGAGCAAGCCAGCATTCCCTATGAAATGTAACCATCACTCACTTCAAGCATTGTCAAGTTGGGACATTCACTTCAGCCCTGTGATAGTGCCAGGGCTTATTGCAAGGATTTTAGTATTTCAGCCTGGACTGTTTGGGATCGGTTAGGTATTCACACAAGTTAGAGCGAGACTAAAGCTGAGTAAGTATGAGAAGAAGACAGATGTAGACTCAAATTTTGGGAGTGTGGCAGTGAACTGTACTGCTGAGAAGCTAGCTAAATGATATGGATTGTGAGAATTGAAGAAGAGTTGGATGTGCTGTTGGAATTCTTCCTGAGCCCATTTGTATGTCAATTTCTTTTAATTATTTCTTTTCTATTCAATAGAATTCTAGTTCGTCTTCGAGCGTCCAAGACCAAAGAATTGCCAACATGTTTGAGCTTTCAGGTGACTACCGTCAACAGCACTTCCTAACTGGACTTCTCTTCACTGAACTTGCAGCAGCTCTGGATGCTGAAGTGGAAGGGTATGGGATTTAAGCTCTGTTCACATTTCAGTGAAAAAACAAATTAGTTATTTGTAATGGACTCACATGATCCAGAATGAAGAGTCTCGTGATGGTTGACCATGAAACGAGTAGCAAGTGACGCCATCATCCCGTGAATGAATAAAAAACATGACGCCTTAAGGGTAATGGGTTGAATATACCTACACTCCAACACTGTGTGCCATGGGAATCATGTAACTGCAGTTTATTCCAACAATGAGCCTTCAACAGGGATTTACAAGAAAGAGTTTTGGCGTTTCCCTGCAGCAGCCAGCTTGAATGTTTGGCATCCTTCCAAGTGATCAGCCAGAACCAACATTGACTAGGTTCTGCGCACAGGTGATCAACTGGGAGTAGCAAGGGGAGACTTAAAGCAGAACATAATTCACATTCAAGTATGTTGTTGGAAAGGAGACAAACTATTTGTGACCAAGGAATTACTGTGGATTTTGGAAACCAGTTTCATCAGGGGAGGGAATAAACTAGTGGTATTATTGCTGGGCTGTTAATCCAGAGACCCAGGTATAATGTTCAGGGGACGTGGATTTGAATCCCACTATGGCAGACGGTGGAATTTGAATTCAATAAAAATCTGGAATTAAGAGTCTAAATGATGACCATGAATCCATTGTCGATTGTTAGAAAAACCCATCCAGTTCATTAATGCCCTTTAGGGAAGGAAACTACCATACTTACCTGGTCTGGCCTACATGTGACTCCAGACCCACAGCAATATGGTTGACTCATAACTGCCCCCTGGGCAGTTAGGGATGGGCAGTAAATGCTGCCTAGCTGGCAATGCCCTCATCCCTTGAATGAATAAAAAATGTTCCCAAATCTGCTGATTCGTAGAGCAAATGAGTTGAATGTAGTTAGCCAGTGGCCAGCAATCTGGATAAACAGGCTGTGGGACCTCAAGAACTGCAGATGTTGGAGTCAGAGTCAACACAGTGTGGAGCTGGAGGCACACAGAAGGCCAGGCAGCATCATAGGAGCAGGAGAGTTGATGTTTCGGGTCAAGACCCTTCATCAGTTCTGACAAAGGGTCCCAACCCGAAATGTCGACTTGCCTGCTCCTCTGATGCTGCCTGACCTGCTGTGTTCCCCCAGCTCCACACTATGTTAAACAGGCTGTGGGGTTATCATAGCTCCAATTGTAACTATTAACCTTAGTTATTTTTATTTGCTTATGTTTTGGTGAATCAACTGAAGTAGATTTCAATGAACATTTACATTCATTGCTGTACTGAACCTGACACTAAATAATGTCAAATACACAGTTAAGTTTCGACTCAAACCACTCTTAAATACGCAGCCATTAAAATTTCCCTCACCAATAATGTAACTAATTCTAAATCCAGTCTACCAATGCATCCCTAAAGTGCTCAGTTTACTGATTAATTGTTTAATGATAAATTGTTTACCTGTTGGCTCTATTAATGAGTTTATTCCAATAATGACTTCCCTGAATCATGAAGTGAAAAATGTTTTGATCACAGAATTACTACTTGATAAGTAAAATATCAGCTGAATAATGCTAGAATGTATTTGGAGTCAGTGAAGGGTCTTTGGTACAGCAGCTATAAGAATTAATGCTGAGGCCAGGGTTCTTCGTTGGGGGAAATGTACACGAACGTACGTTTTACATGTTTTTGTTTTACATTTGAGTGTTTATGAAAATTGCAACGTTAACAAATAAATCCAACGTAAGCCTGAAAAGAAACGTTGTTCCCAACCAAATCAGGCTCAAACTTCTTAAGACACCAACAGTTGTTAATGACTTCATTAATGACTGATCCATGTGTGGCTGTGGTCTAGATAGCTTGTGCCCAACATGTTGAGAGGAATATGTATTATCTATAAATCATAAAATTGTCAGTAGCTTTTCATAGTTTTATGGGATTGAGATGACTGAGTGTTTATTTGGTTCCAGAGGAATACAGTTTTACAGAATATCTTTTGTCACCATTATTCATCTTCCTATGTACCACTGTCAAAAGATTAGAATGCACTTAATAATACATTACTATAAGAACCATAGGAAACAGGAACAGAAGCAGAATGTGGCTGAGCTAACATTCCTCATGTCCACTTTCCTGTGTTTTCCCCATAAACCTTGATTGCCCTATTGATCAAGAATCTATCTATCAGAGTCTTCAGTATATCTGACCCCACAGCTCTCTGTGGAAAAGAATTTCAAAGACTCTCAACCTTTATTAACTATTACATTAAATATTTGTCCAATCCAGCAGTGTTTTCTGTTAACGTTTAAACAAAAATAGTGAAACTCAAAGAAGAAGGAGTTTCATCTTTCTGTGAAGGTGAATTAACTGCAGAAACAACTTAGAACAGAAGTGAGTGACCATCTGATATTTGCTTCCTCCCACAGGATAGCAAAGGTCCAAAAGAAAGCTGTCAATGCCATAGTCAGTCTGTTGTGTTCCCATGATCTGGACTCTCGCTATTCAAAACCAGAGATTAAAGCAAAAGTAGCTGCCTTGTACCTCCCTCTGATCGGGATTATTCTGGATGCATTGCCACAGCTCTATGACTTCACTGGTGAGTTTCAGCTGCTTTACATTTGTTAGATTGAAAGTCTTGTGCTATTGCAAATGAATGTAATAATATATAGGAATTGGTACTTGACAGTTGATGATCACAGAGGATGTTTGTGGAATCTTTACCAGCAGAGAGAAAAACAGGAATGTTGACTCAGCAGGGCATAAATTGGGAGGTGGGGCTGTTTTATTATCAGCCGATCTATGACCTGTAATACTTCATAGAATCCCTACGGGGTAGAAGCAGGCCATTCGCCCATCAAGTCCACACTGACCCTCTGAAGAACATCCACCGAGATCCTCCCCTCTATCCTATTCCTGTAATCCTATGGCTAACCCATCGAGTCTGCACATCCCTGGACACTATGGGCAATTTAGTATGGCCAATCCATCCTAACTTGCACATCTTTGGACTGTGGGAGGAAAGCGGAGCACCCGGAGGAAATGCACACAGACACGGGGAGAATGTGCAAACTCCCCACAGGGTGGAATTGAACCTGGTTCCCTGGTGCTGTGAGGCAGCAGCGGTAAACACTGAGCCACCATGCCACATAACGGTCGATAGAATTACTGAATTACAAAGAACTGGGGATGCTGGAAATCAGAAACTAAAACAGAAATTGCTGGAAAAACTCAGCAGGCCTGGCAACATATATCAAAAGAAAACAGAGTTAGTGCTTAGGGTCCAGGGACCCTTCTTCAGATGGTTCTGAGAAATCTGCGGAGTTTTTCTAGCAATTTCTGTTTTTGTATAGAATTAGTGAATTTAATCTTACATTATGACAAAACTTTACTAAATGTAAAATGCTCTCAATGAGCTGAAGGAAGTAAAGCTGTGGAATTGAGAATGTTCCCTGACTGTTTCCTCCGACTTTATTCCCCTTCATATTTCTCTCCAAAAGGTAATAATTGATTCTCGGCTAAGATTTTGTGGATATTGGCCTGAGTATGTAAAGCTTTCGGATGAGACATTAGAGTCTGCCCAATCAGGTGGACATTAATATCCTATGGCACTGATTTGAAGAAGAGCAGGTTTTCTGGTCAATGTTTATCAGATAATCAACATTAAAAAAAACAGACTATCTGGTCATTATGACATTGCTGTTATAAGAATTTGCTGCAACAAATTGGCATCCATGTTTCTCTCCTACATTGTAAAAGTGTGTCAAAAGTGTTTTATTGGCTGTAAAATGCTTTGGGATTTGTGTCATCCTTATGTCATGAATGGCATGACATAATGCAAAAATGCAGGTTGCTTTTTATGCTAAACATGTGTAACCCCAGGCACTGAGCCCAGTAGTTTCTGGACGGGAAGAGCCCTCTTGTGGCACAATGGTAGTGTACCTAACCCTGGACCGGGAGGTCTGGGTTCAAGTTCCAGCTGCTCCAGAGGTGTGTAATAACATCCCTAAACAGGTTGATTAGAAAAATTGGTTAACTAAAAAATAATAAATCAGAGCCAAATCTAAGCATTTCAGCAATTGTTATCCATATACCCAACCTAGAGAGCTTGCTGTAAAATTTGAAAACTGCAGCTAGACAGTTGAGTGAATCCTATAAGTGCAGTTAAAACTTGTTGCTTAATCTGCTGTGTGTAACTAGGACTGCATCTATCACCCTTCAAATGTGGTTATGTTGCAAAACCATTTCCAATGGAACAAGTACGTAATATAACTTGCCTTAGAATGTCAATTATAATTTCTGCTGAACTTTGTCCATGAGTGAGACTGGTTTCAGGACAGAATAAGTCTGGGCCATGAAATTGTTAACTTGCCAATAAAGATTGTTTCTGTGAGTTTATACCGATCTTGTAATGCCATCAATCAGAAGGTTATATTCAGGAACAGGATGTCATCAGCAGTATCTGAGATTTTATTCCTGCTTCACAGTAGTTCTCTCAATCTGTATTTGTTGATCCAGATGCTCGGACCAGGAAAATTCGCCCAAGTAGTTCAGATGGTGAGACAGAAACCAACCCCATCAATCAGTCCGTTGCCTCGCTAATAGCTGGAAATCCGGGAAACACAATGCTGAAGAGTTCAGCAACAACCTTTTCATCTCTGGTATGCTCACAGTCCCTCAAAAGGATTTTGTTTTGGTTAAATTCTAGTACCAATATATTGGGCAGGACCTTTGTTCCTGCCCTATCGGGTGGGATGTCAGTGGTCATGACGTTACCTCCAATAAGTGCCATCTCTGAGACCATTCCATTTCATTCATGTCATTTTTGAGCTTGCTGTCCATTTGTTTGCAACAAAAACAAAGTTGCTAGAAAAGCTCAGCAGGTCTGGCAGCATCTGTGAAGGTAAAAACAGAGTTAGCATTTCGGGTCCAGTGACCCTTCCTCAGAACTGCCCCTTCCAATACTGAAGTGTTACCACTGGCGGGAGTTGCTTCCTTAAAGCTCTCATCCCACTGCCAGCAAGATTTAACTGAGTGGGCTGATAGTGGCTAGAGGCCCTGCGAACATTCGAGGGGGCCCTCCATGTTCCCCTTGCGCTGGTCCTTTCCACCTCAACCCCACTGCCAACTGCTTCAGTCCCCTCGCAGTGAGCCCAGACATTTACCAAGTCTCACTCCAGCATTCAACATGCCCACAAGCCTCGAGTACCAGTACCCCCCCCCACTTCTGCTGGTGGCACTGGCAGTATTGGAAACTTGCCAACCTTAGGCAGAATGCCCAGCCATTCTCAGAAACAGGAATTTATGCTCCTGAGGGGCAGATGCCTGGCCTCAACTCAGTTAATGGCCAAATAACAGTTTAATTGATGTAGACCATAGTTCCGACCTCTGATGGGCTTACCACAAACTGACCTTTCAGTGAAGCAATGACATATTTTGGTGCCCTAGGGAATGAAATGATACATCGTGTGTGTGCCAAAATGCATTTCATATTAATATTTTAAATGTTTGTGTGCAGAATTCCCATAATTTGATTTCACCTGTTTGGATCTTAAAGGCTTGTCCAACACTTGATAAACGTAATAACTGTAAAAGTGCACTGATCTGTCCATTTGTGTTCATATGTTAAAGTATTTAGAATGTTCCCTTCTGTTGGGCTGTAACTATCTGACCTGCTATGCACTGCTTATAACATCTGACAAAAAGTCAGAAATGAAGGTATTGAAGTGTTGTGAGCCAAAACATTGAATCATTTTCTTGACTATTTTTGTCTGATTTTTTTTTTATCCTCTTTTCTTTCCCTCCATTCGACTCCCTCTAGAGCAATGCAGCATTTGTAGTCCTCCTCCTCAGTCTTTCCCAGTTTCTTAAAATATGCTCGTGAGTTGCTCAGCTGTGTGACTGAGTGACTTCATCAGTTCACGTAGAGTTATTCTCTAATAATCGCATAATGTTTACTTCCATACATAATTCCTCAGGTGACGAAGCAACTCATACCACAGGCAAGAAGACATTGACAAATCCAGGCATGGGCTGATAGGTGACAAGTCACACTTGCTCACACAAGTGGTAGGCAATGACGATCTCCAGCGAGAGAAAATCTAACTATCTTTCTCTTAGGTTGCACGGAATTATCATTGCCACATGTCAATATCATTATCATTGCCAGCTACTTAAAGGACAACTTGGCAGGATTTCACATATTGGAGATTTTTATTGCGCCAAAGTAATTACCAAATCAACTAATTGCCAAACTAATCAACCAAATCTTACTTAGTGACATAAACTGCAGATGCTGGAGATGTGAAATAAAAGCAGTAAATGCTGGAGAAACTCACCAGATCTGGCAGCATCTGTGGAGAAAGAAACAGAGTTAGTGTTTCGAGCCCAATATGACTTCTTCAGAACTCTGAAATTTAAGTGTAATCCTTCATTAGCAAATGATTCTGCTGAGGTGACACAGTCAAAACATTGTTCTATCTCAATGAAATTGTTGTGCACTTTCTCTTTTAGTTCACATTTCTGTGCTTGGAATTTCTGCTGGGGTTCTATGGCAGGAGTTTATCATATCCCTTCCCACCTCATTCCCCCATTAAAGGAGATGTCTAAATGGGCACAAACGGTCATTTCTGCTATTACTCTCGGATTTCTTCCAGTCCTCCACTACAACTAATTGCAGAGGAACAGGTGGACATAGCAGAATTTCTCCCCCACAGTATTTGTGCTTTTGCACATTGTATAGCAAATTTTGTATAGTAGGTTTAATCGATGTAAAATAAGCTGTTTAACTTAGATTCATCTTCAGTACTTAGAAGTTGGGATTTTGTATGATTGTTGATTCCTTTGTTTCATTTCTTTGCAGCCAAGCAAACAATTAACTCCACTGGTGGCTGATGCTAGCCAGGATTTACTGATTTCCTTTTTATGGATCTTGAAGAACGCTGATCAAAATCTCATCAGAAAATGGATTATAGATCTTCCTGTGACCCAACTCAACAAGATCCTAGACCTGTTGCACCTCTGTGTTTCCTGCTTTGAGTACAGGGTAAGGATGCTAGCTTTGTTGCTGTATTTATTGTGGAAAGTACCATCACACATTTAGCATTATCCCTGCATTTACATGACAGAGGGGGGAGGGGGGGGACAGTTAGCTCAGTTGGCTGGACAGCTGGTTTGCAATGCAGAGTTATGTTGACAATATGGATTCAATTCCTGCACTGGGCTGAGGTTACCACGAAGAACTCTCAAACTGAACATCTCCCCTCGCCTGAGTCATGGTGAACCCTCAGGTTAAACCATCACCAGTCATCTCTCTCTAATGAGGAGCAGCCCTACTGTCTGGTAAGACTATGGCAACTTTACCTGTCCTTGTTTTTATGTATGAGGGATCAAAATTGGAAGCAATATAGTTTTAAAAAATCTAAAAACACCAAGCAGTTCTCTCCGTATCTAAATCAAGCAAAAGACAAGTTAGCATTTTCAGTTGAGATCCTTTTTTGATTCCATACTCTAACACTTTCTAATGTTAATTCAGATTTCTGCCTTTTTTCTGTGTAATGCTTTAGCTGTTGGAATGTCGTATTAATACTTTTACAAATAAACTGCAGTCATCATTGCCAACTATAACTGGTAGAAAACCCATGAACTTGGTATTTGTACATTGCCTACACACAGTGGCCAGTTACTTCCTTAGTTTTTTCAGTGATCTACATCCACGCTCAGAGCTGCACTTGGGATTACTTCCTAAACAAGGCACACTCACATTGACATAGCACTGCGTATGTTGAGAACTATAGGCAAGGGATCTCCTGACACACAAAGTACCTACCTAAACCCCCACTCCCAAAACAAAAATCAGTTGCCATGTTTGGTGTATGTGCTTGTTATGCTTATGAAGCTCTCGCAGAGATTCATCGATTTTAGGCCAGAGCTGGGCCTACGCAGAACCTAACTTTGTATCTAACCCATCAGGAATAGTTACTCGATTGGAAATGTGGTAGAGGATCCATGGATTTTCAACCACACAGCAATTTTTCCACCCAGAAATGTTTGGAAATATAAACTATAATGAAGTTACAGAGTCATAGAATCATACAGCACAGAAACAGACCTTTCAGTCTGAACTAACTATATCAAGGCCAGTATACCATCACCAAGTCACCCTTCATTTAATAATGCATAGTATTCTGGCTATGGCCAGCCAGCTCAGAGTCAGCTCACTGAACTGAGGAGGTGCTGAATCTCCTGGTTATATCGGTCAGCCAGGGTTTTCCTGATTGGCCCAGGTTAACAACTCCAATCAATGACCTGGTAGTCAATGCGGTCTACCTGGTTCCAAATACAACGTGGCCCAAACAATCCATGTCGACCATAATCCCAGCTAGTCCCACCTGCCTGCATGTGGCACGTATCCCTCCAAACATTTCTTGTTCATTATCTAAATGCCCTTTAAACGTTGTAACTGTACCTGTACCCACCACTTCGTCTGCAAGTTCATTCCACACACAAACCACCCTCTGTGTAAAAAATTGCCCCTCACAAAGTTACTATAGAGATTCCTCAGGTTACTACAACAGCTGGACTAGCAGTTACCCCCTCTCAATGCTTTACAGCCTGTCCCATTATTTGCATTGTCAGTTGATTTCGAACATCAGAAAACTTAGAGAATGTTACTAACACTCGGTACCAAGAGAAACAACAGCATTGGATTGTTTTAGAAACCTGTCATTTGCTTTTCAGAGCAAAGTAACTTCTGATAAAGTCAGCACGCAGGCTCTCCAGAAAAGCAAGCACACCAAGGCACGGCTGGAGGAAGTGCTTCTGGGAAATGCAGGAGCCCGAGGAGAAATGATGAAGCGATGTCGTGGCCCAGGTAAGATACTCGCCTTCGTTTCAGGCCAAACATTTCCCTTGTTTACACAATGAGAAGAAAAATAAAATAAAATCTCTCTAAATGAGAGATACAGCAAGTGCTGATGGGTCGGAGTCATTGGATAAGGTAATGGAGTGTTACTTGATAGAAAAGTATCTGTCAGTTGGAAAGAAAGAATCTATAAGACAGTTGTGAGACCAGCCTTGTTATATGGTGCAGAAACCTGGGCTATTTCTAGGAATGAGGACTAGTGCCTGGATAGCAGTGAGAAGCAGGTACTGAGATGGATGTGTTGAGTGATGCGAAAGGATAGGAACCAGTACATCAGGGGATCAGCAAGCAGTATGGGAGCATTGAAGAACACAGCTGAAAAGAGATTGAAATAATATAGTTTGCTGTTGTGGATGTGGAGGTGCTGGTGTTGGACTGGGGTGGACAAAGTCAGAAGGCACACGACACCAGGTTATTGTCCAACAGGTTTATTTGAAATCACAAGCTTTCGGAGTGCAGCCCCTTTGTCAGGCGCAGTGAGAGAGGAGAGCACACAGACACAGAGTTTATAGGCAGAGAGATCAAAAGATCATACAACTGGTGTGAGTGGTGTGTCAGATAATAATAATTAATTGTAGGCCTTGTTAACCTGATTCCAGGTTAAAACTGAGAGACAGATTCTGAACAAGGCCCCACACCTACAATCTGACCTAAGATGTTACCTTTTCTATATTCCTATGGCTCTGCCTGATGGTCATGACAGTACAGCACTGACGTTGACTTTATAAACACTTTACTCACTGTCTAACACTCTTGGTCACCTGCAGATACTTATTATCTGACACTCCACTCACATCAGTTGTATGATCTTTTGATCTCTTTGCCCTTGATCTCTCTGTCTATAAACTGTGTGTCTGTGTGCTGTCCTCTCTCACTGTACCTGATGAAGGGGCTGTGCTCCAAAAGTTTGAGAGATTTCAAATAAACTTGTTGGACTATACACTGGTGTCATGTGACATCTGACTTACTCCCTGTTGTGGAGAGAGAGGAAATGTGGTGAAGCCTGTAATGGACATGGGACTATCAGGAAGGAGGAGAAATGGAAAGCTAATGACCAGATTGAAAGATGTTGTGGTGAAAGACTTAAATGCAGTCAATGAGGAAGGTGTCACTCACAGAGGAAATAGAGAAAGGTGATGACCCAGCTTTGTGGTGACTCCAAGGGAAATGAGAGAAGCCCAAAGGAAAAAAAGGAGAAGAGTAGGTGGCAGAGGTTAGTTATTTCCGAGTTCTATCACTTATACCTGCACTTAATTCATCCATTAAAACTACACTCTATTCATAGAAACATAGAAAATAGGAACAGGGGTAGGCCATTCAGCCCTTTAAGCCTGTTCTGCCATTTACTATGATTGTAGTTGATCATCCTATTGAGTCCCCTGCTCCCGCTTTCACCATACCTTTAATCCTAAGAATGAGGTGTAACTCTTTCTTGAAAACATTCAGTGTTTTGGCCTCAACCACTGCTTGTGATAGTGAATTCCACAGGCTCCCCACTCTCTGGATGAAGATATTTCCTCTCCCGTCAGTTCCATATCCTTAGTCCGTGACCCATGGTTCTGGACTCTCCACTCATCAGGAACATCCTTCCTGTGTTTACCCTGTCTCATCCTGTTAGAATATTGTAGGTTCTTTCAGATTTTCCACTTACTCTTCTGAACTCCAGTTAATAAAGTCCTAACTGATCCAATCCTCCCATCCCAAGATACAGCCCACTGTGTGGAGAAAACGACAACCCAATCTACATAATCATGGGAGAGGCTGCACGTCAGTCTCCTTGGGAAAAGAAACACCTGTATTGCAGCACAGTGGCTCAGTCGTTAGCACTGCTGCCTCACAGCACTGGGGACCCGGGTTCGATTCCACCCTCGGGCAACTGTCTCTGTAGAGTTTGCACATTCTCCCAATGTCTGCATGGGTTTCCACTGGGTACTCCGGTTTCCTCCCACAGTCCAAAGATGTGCAGGTTAGGTGGATTGGCCATGCTAAATTGCCCATAGTGTTCAGGGATGTGTAGATTACGTGGGTTATAGGGGGATGGGTCTGGGTGGGATACTCTGAGGGTCAGTGTGGACTTGTTGGGCCCAAAGGCCTGTTCCCACACTGTAGGGATTCTATGGATTAGGGTTGAGGTGGGAATGGGTCCATGGGGAAAATGTTACCGTTTGTGGTGAGTTGTGAATTATGCTCACTATTTTGGCCAATTATCCCCATGTCTAATGAAATTTTGTGGTGGCTGAGGGCTTATATACAAGTGGAACAGCTTTCCAATGCATTCAACAAGCTACAAGCTAAACCTTGTTGTGTTTGTCTGTGCCCCTACCTGGGAAATACCTTGTTCACATTGAGCACTTAGTGCTCGATCAAGGGACCCACAATCATGCTGGAGTTGCTTCTGACAGCTACCTGTCTTGTCCTAGCCTCCGACAACAAGGCCCCTGCTACTACCATTCTCCTGTGGACTAGGTCCTTTAGCTATCCTAGGCCTTGTCTTGGTTATAAACCAATTACAGCCACTGCTCCTGGACCCTTCTGTTTGTAATGAGAGCTGCTGGGCTCTGATTGATCGGTGGGGGACAGGGGTGGGATTTATTTCCTTGATTCCTGCTTCCCAGGGAAGGCTCTCAGTAGGTAACTCCCTGCCAAGTGCTTTAATTGGTTTTAATTGCTCACCCTCCGTAACAAAGTGGGTTTTCCTGTGATTCTCCAGCCAATGAGCTAAGCCCATGTCAGTTACATTCAATTCCACCTGAAGACTTTGCTTATTTATTAAATAATTACATTTGTTTCAGGAAATGAAAGAAACTTTGGAATAAATGAAAACCTGCGATGGAGAAAAGATCAAACACAGTGGCGACAAGGCAATGAGAGACAGGAAAAGTATGTGACTAATGAAAAGATTTATCAATTTAAAATGATAGTGGATAAATGATAAATGATATTGGTGGCACAGTGGCTCATGTTGGCGGCACAGTGACTCAGTGGTTAGCACTGCTGGCTCACAGCACCAGGGACCCTGGTTCAATTCCACCCTCAGGAAACTGTAATGTGTGGAATTTGCACATTCTCCCCGTGTCTGCATGGGTTTCCTCTCTCAGTCCAAAGATGTGCTGGTTAGGTGGATTGGCCATGCTAAATTGCCCGTAGTGTCCAAGGATGTGCAAGCTATGTGGATTAGCCATGGGAAATGTAGGGTTACAGGCATAGGGTAGGGAGGCTGAGTCTGGGTTGGATGCTCTTTGGGGGGGGGTCAGTGTGGACTTGATGGGCCGAATGGCCTGATTCTACTCTATGGGTTCTATGATAGAATGGTATACACAGAAGGAAGGGATACAAGGAAATAACACAGAACTACTAGAGCAGTTCAGCCTATTGTGCCTATTGCTGGTAATTTGGACAAAGTATCCAGTCAATGCTATTCCCTTTGTCTTTCTCCTGGGCCTGTAATTTTTCTGTCAACTCTCTTTCAAATATCACCATTCAATTTGCTTCTGATACCCTTGGAGGCAGTCGATTGTGGATCTCAACAACTGGCTGTTTAAAAGCACTGTTTCTTCATGTGGCTACTGGATTTAATTGTCAAACATCTTAAATTGCCCTGGTACAATTAAAATATTTAAAAGGCACCTGGATGGGCATATGAATAGGAAGGGTTTAGAGGGTTATAGGCTAGATTCTAGCAAATGGGACTGGATTAATTTAGTATGTAAATGGTCAGCATGGATGAGTTGGACCGAAGGGTCTGTTTCCATGCTGCACAGCTCTATGACTCTGTCTGTGTCTTCCGATTGCTGACCTTCTGGCAAGGGGAAAAGTGTTTCGCCTGATGAAGTCTATTGAAATCTTTCGTCATTTTAAAGATCTGCATCAAATTTCCTTTTAGACTTTTCTGTTCTAAGGGGACCATCCCAAAGAAGTGCAGGTTAGATGGATTGGCCATGGGTAATTGTCCATGGTGTCCAGGAATGAGCAGGCTAGGTGGCTAGCCATGGGAAATGAAGGGTTGGGGGATAGGGTAGGGGGTTAGGTCTGGGTGGGATGCTCTTCAGCAGGTCAGTGTGGACACGATGGGCCAAATGGCCAGCTTCCACACTGTAAGGATTCTATGATACTATCCCCGGTTTCTCCAGTTAAGTGAAGGCCACATCTCTGTTGCCATTCTAATAAATCTCTTTCGTACCCTTACAAAGGCCAACACATCCTTCCTAAGCTGTTATGTACAGAATTAAGCATGGTTCTCCAGCTGAGGTCTAAATTATGTTTAACAGAAGTTTGGCACACATTCCTTTCTCCACTGCTCTGTGAATAAAGCCGAGGATCCCATTATGTTCGCTTTTTGTATGTACTTTCTGAACTTGTCTAGCAGCTGTCAAATATTTGCAAACATAGGAACCCAGTTATTTCTGTTTCAGAATCCGTTCCAAAACACTACCATTTATTTTAATTGCCTCACTTCCATCTTCTTTCCAGTTGGTGATAGGAGAGAGTGACAGCACCATCAAACTCCAAATTGGTCCACAATAAGTTACATATTATCCAGATGGTATCACTGAAGACCTGAAGTGATAGATCTATGGTTTTAATCAGATAAAATTCATTCAGGATTGGGAAGAAATAAACCAGTAGTAGCAGCAACAATAGCAGCAATAAAAACCAGCAACAATAAGCCACAACAGTTCAGTTACACAGAGCATTTTGGAGTAGAGATGCATTTGTTTATTGATGTGGGCATCACTGGCTAAGCCAGATTTTATTGCCCATCCCAAATGGTGATATAGTTTTCAGTCAGGATGGTGAGTTACACATTGTGATCGTGTTCACATGCATTTGCTACACTTCTGCTTGATGTGGAGGTGTCGGTGTTGGACCGGGGTGGGCAAAGTCAGAAGTCACATGACACCAAGTTATAGTCCAACAGATTTATTTGAAATCACAAGCTTTTAGAGTGAAGCCCCTTCATCCGGTGCAGTCCTGACTTCATCTGACGAAGGGGCAGCGCTCCGAAAGCTTGTGATTTCAAATAAAACTGTTGGACTATAACTTGGTGTCATGTGACTTCTGGCCTTCTCCTTCTTGGTGGTGGAGCACACAGCTAGGAAGGTGCAGACAAAAGGAGGACTCGTGAGTTTCCTGCTGATGTCACTTGCAAGTTGATGAGTAAAGAATCCCAGCTCACTGGTGAGTGTAATTATCTGGCCCAGGTTGGCATATTTGGAACTTGTTTCATTGATCACAATACTTCGGAACTAACATTTCTTTTTTTCAAATATTGTATTTGGTTCCAACTTGCACCTCCTCTCCAATCCGGTAACTTTGCTCCCCACTGGTGCATAGTAGATATTTTCTCTACCAACCTTTTCACAGATGTTATTACACAGCCCCGGAGCCTGGGCCTCCTGGCTCAGAGATATGGACATGACCACCATAAGGGTTCTACTGGTGCATTGTACACTTTCTTGTATCTGAGCTCAGACTGCGTGACTACCAGCCATTTGACTATTGAGCATCCTGACACCATCCAACATCCATACTGAGATAGTTCCTGACAGGAATATCTGGAAAGTGATCAGTGCAAATCTTACCTGATCTTGAATGCTGCACCCCTCTTTTCTTAGCTTAGGGATAATATGGTCAATTGTAGTTCCTCAATTCCTGTCTTAGTTGGGATCAACAACACAAAACAGTGCAGGAATTCCAACACTTAAAGTTTGGCTTACGCTATTGTGTGCTGAGGTTACCATGAAGCTCTCTACTGCTGAACCCCTCCCCTCACTTTAGGCACAGTGACCGTCAGGTTAAACCATCACCTATCTCTCTAATGAGAGAACAGCCCTATGTCTGGTAAGACTATGGCTGCTTTACTTTTACTGTGTCTCCAATCACTACACTACAGAACAAGTTAATGGCCCATTTTATTTTAAATTAGTTGAAAGCACAATCTTCCAATCAGTAATGCAATGTTTGTCTTCCTTCATATTTCAGACCTACCAAAGAAGTTCAGGTTTTATCCACTTCAGAAATATGACTTCAATATCGATACACACCAATATCATTAAACTTAACTCCTTAACTTCCTACTTGCCCCTATGATGTCAGACTGCTTTTTGAACCTGAATGAGCAAAACTTCAGAGATGACAAGGTGTAGAGCTGGATGAACACAGCAGGCCAAGCAGCATCAGAGGAGCAGGAAAGCTGACGTTTCGGG